TGCTAAAGGCCCTTTTTCACCTCTCTACTCCCAGGTTACTCACACTAGACTTTCAAAATATTTCCCTGCAATCTTGTGATGAGCAATTCTTACATTTATTCATGTTTTAATTATTGACCATTTAATACTTTAAGTAGTTCAAAATCTAAAATATCAACTTAAAGGCACCCAGAATATCTAAAGAGACTTATTAAAAAATATTCTGAAAGCTAAATTTATCAAACTCCATTCACAAATATTTTCCAACCATATTAGCCCAAGAAAACCAGTAATCATTTTTTTTAATCTCTCTTAAAATTACTGCAAGGTAGCACAGATATTTCCAAAAATGTCTGCTGAATAAAGGTTATCAGATTACCCATTTTCGTGGTTGTAAAGTTGAAAAGGAAATGAAAAAAAAATCCTCTTTCTGAGCCTGCTTCGTCTCCTTGTACTAGTGAGCCAGCCTGTGAAGACTGCACTGCGTCTCCTTACAGAGGTGCCACATAGACTCGGGTTTCCTCCCCCACAGAAGCAGAGTTGGGGAGAGGCCAGTCCCTCCCAGCACTAGGACCCCCAAATTTGCAGGGAATGCTCAAAACCACAGTCTGTGAAACAAGTCTTGGCCTGGCAACCCCATCTTCTCCCAACTGCCACTGACATGCAAATCCAAATGTGCCCTTAATCTCACTTTCAGAAGTTTTCTTTTCACATCTTCTCTAAATTACATGGACATTGTGCTTGAGTGTACAAGTTACTGAAGAAATCACAAAAGTTGGCAATCACATGGAGGCCAGGGCCTTCGTGTCTTGGCACCTCACAAGCAAGGACAGTTTCACTAGTTAGAATTCTGCTGTGTCCAAGCTAAACAGAAGCTAACGCTAAAAGCGTTCAATGCTTTTTGAAAAATCCATCAAAGGTTTTTCTGAATGATATTTATAAGGGCCTTACTGTTCTCTTTCAAAAACTGAAATGCCCTTCTCGGATACTTGAAAAAAATTGCTTGTGCTTTTCATCTTTTCCTCTCAGAGTGTAAACATTGTTTTGAGTGAAAGGAGCTGAAGGAGCGCTTACTTTCCCTTGAAATTTTATTTTTAAATAAGAGAGGGAGAAAATCCTTTTTCTGACTAATACTAATAATACAGGTCAAAGTGTCAGGGGATATACAATTAGATAGAAAACAAAAAAGGTTCCCCCTCTTTTTCCCACCGTACAATGGCACTGGAATATAAATTACCGATGAAGATGAAATAATACTTCAAAGCTTGTAGGGCAGGGTAGGGCAATGTTTACAAAGTATTTTCTATGGCACGATGAGACACTACAGATGACGGTAGCCTATGGACTTCAGGGTGTTGCTGAATAGTCTCAAACTAGCATGAGGTAAGATTGTACGTCCCTATAGCCTGTGACCCTGTGATGGGCTTTGTTTCACAAGGGCAGCTGCAGTTATCAACAGATGTTTCAGCAATAAATAATTGGTATCATCTCGGAAAACACCCATCTACCTGGGGAGAGGGCATAATACCCAAAACACTGGCCGGCTATCACAGCCGCATTAATCTCCCATCTCTCCAGGTTTCTCGGGGAGCGTACTGCAGGTGTTTTTTCTGGGAGAGAGAGGACAAACTCTCTCAAGTCAGCAAGCTTTGTGTGGAGGGTAAGGGAGGTTGGCCCCTGCCATAAATTTCTGTCTGTGGCCACACAGCAAAGGAGAAAAGATGGGGGGGATGGGAAAGTAGGCGAGGGAGGAAACAGAGGAGGCTGTGGAACAGAAAGCAGAGCACAAAACACATGATTTTTGCTAATTAAGTTAAGCCTAAGTGAGGAACATTAGAAATGACCCTTCATTTTACCAACTCAGGCACTCAGCACAGTTTCACGCTTAACTTTGCTCTGTTATCTATGCAATTAAAGACAGTATTTACCCTCCAAATGTAATGCTAATTTTTAAAATGGAAGGGAAATTTTTTATGAGAAGGATTCATTTCAAGGCATAAAATTATCGTGGAAATTTAGATTTACAAAAAAAAAACTGTAAGAAGAGATAACTGAAAAAAAAAAACTCAGCAACCTTTATTTTTTTATGTAAGAATAGAATCTCACAATTAATTGATTATTATAATAACGTGGCCTTCCAGCCTTGGTAAAATGTAATATTGAAACCAGTGGATAACGGGACAAAAACAAATCTTGGAATTTCCTTGCGATACTTTTGACAAGCTAAGATAGCACTACAGTTCTCCGTATTTACAGAACAGAGTGGTTTAGCGATTCTGCACTTGGGGTCTGATACAATAAGAAAGCATCTCAAGACTCTTTGGGAGGAGTGGTTGCTTACTTTATAGCTTGCTGGGTAGGCTGAAGAAAAGGATGCTCAGCATTCAAAAGGCTCCCAGGTTAAACACGCTATGGGCTAAAGCAGGCTGATTCCCAGAGCTGCCTCTGAGTGACCTTGTGAGCAGGGCATAAATTTCCTGAATTCTCTGTGCCTTTATGCTCCCCCAGTTGTGATATCTGTGCAATATATAGAGGGAAAGTAGAAGGAATAATGAATGGGCTCCTGAAACAAATCAACAACGATGAGCAGCTTGTCTCTCAACTCACATTAACCCCCAAAATGCAGCAAGACTTTAAAACACCATTTTCAGTTTTTCGGCCAATGTCACTACCAGCCTTGAATGCACCTAGGGCGATCTGGTAAGCGTGGATGGAATGAAGGGAGTAAAACCCTGGTCACAGAGATGTGCGTGCATCTCAGTCTATGCTGGAAATCCCGAGGAACTTTCTAAGCCTCAAAGGTCGAAGCAGGGGTCACTTCCTCTGTGAAGCCACCAGGCTCTCACCTTCCTCGGAAGCCTTATATAGATAGTGCTTATATGCCACTGGCTGACGCACACAGGGCTTTCAAAGCCTTCTCCTCTCACATTTTTGTTCAGGCTCTCTGTCTTTAATTTATAGCTTCCTGGGTAAGCTAAAGAAAATGGTGCTCAGAGTTCGAAAAGCTCCCAGTTTAAACACATTATGGGCTAAAGCAGCCTAATGGACTTATTTGAGCTGCCCTATCAATCGTCACCCTGTTCTCTTTCCAACAGTCATTCTCAAACTCTAACATGCATCGGAATCATCTGAAGGGCTTGTTGATGTTGATTGCTAAACCCTCACCCCCAGAGTTTTTCATTTGGTAAGACTAGTATACGGCCCAAGAATCTGAGCCAGTTTTTGGGTGATACTAAGTGCTGTTGTTTGGAAGTCTAAGTTACAGCACTACTGCTTTTGAGCTGCACTATCCAATTAGTGCAGAAGGAAATGGCAACTGGAGAAGAAAAATGGCAATTCACTGCAGTATTCCTGCCTGGAGAATTCCATGGACAGAGGAGCCTGGAGGGCTACAGTCCATGCGGTCACAAAGAGCTGGCCACGGCCGAGAAACTGAGCACATCTAATTAAATAGTACCCCTAGCCACATGGAAGTATGTACGTAGAAGTTCATTTTAAAAATGAAGTAAAACTAAAAACTCAGTTCTTCAGTCATTCTAGTCACATTTCAGGTGCTCAAGAGCCACACTGAGGGCAGGGCCTAGCGTATCGGGCAACAGAAATATAGAACATTTCCATCATTGCAGAAAGTTACAGCCTACAGCTTGCACTAGAGTAAACGAGTTTCAGGGTTCCCACCTGGGCTCTCAAGTTCACCCCTTGGGGCTTCCGGAGGATGGAGGAAGGTGCTGAGTCACAGCTTCACCACTCACTAATCTGTTCCCATGAGAAAGTTAATCTCCCTGTACCTTAACTTTATCATCTGCAAAATGGGTTTGATAATGGTAATAATCATTGGAGGGCTATTTTGAAAATTAAATAAGATGATGCACATACAAGCATTCTATAAACCCAAAATAATATATATACACTATAATTGTTTTCCATTCCACTTCTCCACTAATAACAGGCACACTTATTTAAAAACCCTGGCTCACCACCAGATTTGTTCGAAGTATTCACTTTCCTTTGCCTGTGGTCCTCTGTCTGTTTAACTTCAGTCTGTTTTTTGGAGGGTAGGAAATATTGATGAGGAGGTTACTGTTTCAGTGAACTCTCCAACGATGCTGTTGTGTGTACATAGATCAGGGAGATCTTTCTGGATTTTTGTTTTGATAGACAAAGATAATGTCTATTTATACATTTATTTTGGGATGACCCCCAAACACATTCCCATGTAAACCAATAAAATAAAAATTTTAAAAGATTATCATCACTTGTAATGCTTGGTCTCCATACAAATGTCTGTATTTTATGTAAAAAAAAGAAAAATACAAGCTAACAGAGTCTCTTCTTAGAGAATGTGATGGGGGGGACACTATCAAAAAGCAAATTGGCACTTATGGAAGCATCCCCAGAACCTAAGCCTGAAATCTGAGCTCCAATCTGAGTTCCTGTGTTATTCTTGAGGCTCTCTCCTCTCTGGGGTAGAGGTACCCATTGGATTCATTTCCATTAAGTGAGTTAAGGAATAATAATGCCAATAACTCTGACAATACTTCCCAAACAGTATGAATCATGAGGAGATAGGGAGAGAATAGGATTTCAGGCAGGACTCAGGAAGGGACACACCAGGCTTCAACAGCTTAGACACCAAGTCACATGGATGAAATAGTAACCGAGTTTATTTTTTTAAGTTACCCAACTCTTAGAAAGTAGCATTTCAAAATAAAAATGCTAATGAAGCATGGTAGAATCAAAACTACTGCTTCCAGCCCACCAATGACAGGTTCTCATTGGTCCACTGACCACGCTTCTCCACTTTTACTTGATTTGCCTTTCCAACAGAAGGGTCTTATGGGCAAACAGAGCTCTTTGAAAAGCTTCCCCCCCCCACCCCCCCAACATTAGTCAATTTGGCAGAGCTGACCGTAAGGGTAGGGGCTGTCTTATGCTTCAAAGAAATTTAATCTATTACACCATTTAGCGGCTAAATGCCTGACTTGGGGGTATCAAGGAACAGCTGGTGTAGTTCTTCCTACCAGTAACTGCTGCAAGCTGGCGCCAATCACATCCTGCAGGTTTGTTTTGTCCTCTGGGCCCACAGCTTGTTTGTATTGCCACTTTTCAGGCACGAAGGGCCATTTCATTTCCTTTGCCTCCTGGATCAGGGTTCTTAACTCGCTGGGGAGTGAGGCTGAAAAGGTCAGAGTTCAGGTAAGGAAATTGCAGTTGAAGAAAAGGTTGTTGAGTTACCAATGTTATGATGAAGCACCTCAGTGGCACAATTTTTTTTTTCCCTACTTCTCACTGGCTGGCCTAACCTGGTGTTCTGACTCAAAGAATAATAGCAAAAAGCTATCTGTCAGGGGGTGGCTCTGGTCTACTTTGCCCTACAGGTAAATTGGGGTAGTCAGGCATTAAGAAAGGTTTTAGCAGGAAGTAAAGCACTTCAGTGACTGTCTCTGCATGAAGAATCAGAGAAAGGAATGAAGGAAATATTATTTTTCCTGTAAAATGAGAAAGGGCCTGAGATGGAATGGCATTTGGGGCTTGTGGCTAATGCAGCAAATCAATCTCTTTTTTACTCCTCTAAGATCTCACCTCACCTCAGACTTTCACCGTGGACTATGTCTGAATATAGACAATGAATATAAACAAACCCACATCAATTTATTATGAAATAGCCTTGTATCACTTTAGGAGATATATTTAATCTCTTGAGACATCAAATTTAATTAAAAATATAAGTCAGTAATCTCTTATCCAAACTTGGGAAGCCTAGAAAGCTTTGGAAACTAGATTTTTTTTTTTAAGTTTGGCCCCCAAACCAGACTTGAATTGACTCAAGATTATTTATAATCTTGCTATGGTGAGATCAGTCAACATTTTGCCCTGAAAATTTTAATGTTTGATGGTGCTGCCCCTAGCTTCTACTGCAGTGTTAGTATAACAGAGGGTATATGCACCATACTACCCTTTCTAACATTTGAAAATACTCTGAATTCTGAAGCACATGTGACCACCAGGGCTGTGAATAAGGGATCATGGACCTGTATACACAACTGCCAGCAATACATCTTTAAGTGCTTGTCTCTCAGACTCAGTGTATCTAACACTGAATTCATCACCTTTTTTTTTGAATATTGCATGTCCCTCTCTATTCTCTGTTGATGAATGTTACTACCATTCCCTGAGTCACCCAAGTCTGAAACCCAGAAGTCAGTCTAGACTTTTTGCTCTTCCTCCCTGAGTCTAACTGGTTATCAAATTCCGTGGATCCTAAAATCAATTTATTTCTTTAAATCATCAGTAATTCCTGCCTGATTCATTGTCTTCTATCTCCTCCTATCCATTTCATATTCCACATTGTTGAGTCCCATCTTGCTAAAACCAAGATGGACTAGGACATTGTTCCACACAAAATTCTTTAATGCTTTTGTATATCCTGTCTTCATATTAGGCATTGTCTTGCCTCAACTGTCTAATGACCAAGCTCAGGCCTGCTGACTCCATTCAGCATTCAGTGTAGACACTGCCACTTCTCATCAGCCCTGCCACGATCTCCCAGTGGAATTGAGATGCTCCTCAGGAGTATTCTCAAACCCACAGGAGCACACTCCTTTCAGCATCCATCTCACTGCTCTCTAGCCACATCTGTCCTTTCATTGGACTGTGGACTGTGAGCTTCCAGAAGACAGGCATCATGTCCTACCGTGTTTGTAAATCACACCATGATGGTTAAAAGATTAGCTTTGTGTTTACATGAGATATGCTAAATAAGACAAAAGACGTATGAGAGAGAATTAAAAAAAAAAGAAGAAGAAGAGAAGGGAGAAAACCTAACTCTGCCTTGGCTCCTGATGCCTTTTTGCGCCCTTGCCACCAACTGGGAAAATGTAAGGAAGCCTCCTGATGGAGAGGGACTGCTTGGCATTGAGGGGATAACTCATGGGCTATGTCAATGAATGACTAATCTGGACTGGCTCCTAAGCATGACTTACAAATATCACACTGAAACCATTGTCCCCCGCCCCATTCAGTAACCCAGAACCACCAAGCCTCCTCTGAATGGCTCTCCTCTAATGAAAGCAAAAACAGGGGGTTGGAGACCAACCTGATTCCCCAATCTCTTCTTACCACCACTGACATACTTTCAATCTCTGAAAATGTTTTCGATGTACATGTAGAGAAAATTTCTTAAATGATATTTCTAAATAGTCATGAATAGGATGACTATCCAGTTCTGTTTGCTTAGGACAATCCCGCGTAGTCATCGTGTGCTTGTTAACAGAGCCTTTTCACTCTCAAAAGTGTTTCAATTCTGATCAATTATTTGGACACTCTGTCGATGAGTGTCAAGCTCAGGAGTCAAAGGAGTAGTTAAATGTCAAAAGAAACGTGATTTCTGGATTCATAGAATTTCACTATGTTTTGGCACTAAATAGCTTTAAGTACTTTCAAACTTTCTTCATGGTGATGAGGAAAATCTATTTGTTATAAATAATTTTTTTTCCTCCTCATACTACTCTTTCCCTACAGGTCATGCCCGAATGTGGATTGTCCAGTGGGGCATACTGAAATAAAGGATGTCCCTGAAATATGTTTTTAAAATATATATCTGTTTGGATTTCAGTTCCTTCTCTATCTCAGGGGGTTAGAGCCTCTAAGGCTGGTCACCCATGCTGACTGGGACAATTTCTGAGGGAAGACGATGGGGTTGAGAGGAGGAGGGAAAAGCATGAAACCTCCAGTGTTTACCTTCGAGTCTGCCTGCTGCCCCATCGCCCTACGTGACCCTGTGCTAATGCCTTTCTCTGGGAGCATGTGCGGGAGACAACATCGGTAGCAGTGGCAGCCTGAGCCATGAGCTAGAGCCGCTCAGGAAACACGCCAGGGACAGGCTCTGTGCTCAGACCACGCCCAGCTGCACCAGTGGCTTGGGTGGACCATGCAACATGCAGTGGTGATGGGCAAGTGCCGAGCTTGTCAATGGCTCAGCATAGGATTCCTCCCACATTGGTTTATCAGATTCAGCCAACCCCAGCAGCCAGCCCCTGATGAGCAGGAGCCTCCTTTCCCTCTCTGATCCCTCACTTCCCCAAGCAGCTTACCTGGAGGGCCATGGCTAATTGAGTGATTTTGCAGTCGTGATTTGCCTTATCTGGAACTAACCTGATTATTTCTCCTATTCTGTGGCACTAGAGAAGAGAAAGAAAAAGAAAATGCTTCCCGCTTAGGGGTTCAGAGTCTTCACTACGGAGAACACAAAACTTAAAGGAATTTAAGCTGAAGGGACAAAGGACATGATGTAGTAAAAGGAGAAGAGAAAACGCTCAGGAGAAATAACAGAACACAACACACTGCCCCTGGGGAGAACGAGGACCAACCCTGGGGCGAGCAAAATCAGACACTGGTGTTTCTGGCCAGTAAAGAAAGGAAACACTAAGGTTTTGAAACAACTGGACACAGGGCATTTTATCTTGAAAAGAGCATGGCTGACAGACAGGTTACACAAAATTAGACTTCTAAAGGCACCTGAAGGTTCCCCTGTAAAAACATATGCACTTATATACAAGAATGTGGGGAAAAGGCTCTCCTAGAAACTTTTCCCATTACATAATTAACAGAAACAAAAGAGATGGGGAGTGTGCATTTTATATGGGAATCTTATTTCTGTAACAAATAGCAGTCAACTAAAAATATAAAGAAAAATATTTAAAGCACATAAGAGAGATACCCTGATAGAAATGAAGGGAAATTTATCTGAATGCTAAGAAGAAATCTAAGGAAGGAAGGTTGCTTCTCCAAAACTAGCTAAAGAAGAAATTAGAATTGCTTTAACTTTCTAGATTTTGTGATTGAAATTTCCCAAACAATGACTCATCTAAAACTATGTATGGTACAAACTATGAATGAGCAAAAAGGCCAAATTCTCAAATCCTGATAATGATGCAATAAGTATTTATTAGTTTGAGTAAATTTATTTTATAAATGGTATGTAAATACAACATGAGAAACGAATTGATGATCAAAAAAGAGAGATGGGACTGGTGAGATGACATATTTATGGAAACTGTAGATGTCTATGGAAACTGATGAGGCACAAAAACCTAGTTTGAAACAAAAGTATGCACCACCATTCAGAAGTTGCTTCAATTTTTTAATAATTGAAATTTACGTGCACCAGCCCACTTGGACCCTTTGTTCTTCTTGAACTAAACTGTTTCTTGTAGCCCTCATGTTTACTGAAGCTTAAAATTCAAACTGACAGCAATTCACTGCAACAAAGTGGGCTTCCTCCCCTGCCCGTCCACCCGCAGCCCATGTCCCATTCATGCCCTAGAAATCCACTCATCTCTCGGTGGTCATCTGCCAAGAGAAGAAAAATAGGGCAGAGATGAGACCGTGTCGTTCAGACAGGGTAAAGGAGAGCAAACGTGCTGCTCCCCGCTGCCCCCAGCGCCTCCCATTGGGACCTCACCTCTGCATCTCTCGTCCTCCCTCTTGTCCTCCTCTGACATATCTGACGCCTCCAATAGGAGCTGGTCCAGCACTTGCTTGCACTCTTGCAGCAGCGTAGCTACAGCTTCTTGATTATTCATGATGATTACCCTTTCTTGATGATGAGTCAAGTGTCCCTGGGTCTACGGTGATCAATTACCTAGGAGAAGACATCGATCCTCAATAAAAGAGCCCCTTCAAGCCTTAGGTACCTGGTGAACAAAAGAAGGGGAAAGATGATTAACTGAAGCATCATCAATTATCTGTAAGACTCAAGCAGGGAGGGATAATAGAGCAAACACATGAAAATACATGACAGCCCCTGAGGACTTTACTAGAGGAGGGTGTGAAATTATTGCAGGCCTTGTCTAGATGGGCAGCACCTCGAAGCATCAGAGAGCAGAAGGGAGAGGGTCCTGGGGCAGACCCCGGTCACCCACAGTGTAGTCAGTGACATCACATGGAGTCAAATGAAATGAATATACTCTATGATTTATGTATCTTCTGCATACTTCACATCAGTGCCTCTGGATCCCAGTGGCACACCACTTTCTGCTTCTCTGAAAGTCTACAGGAAGCATCTGGCTAACAGTTCTAATATTCAGACACAAGCACATGGTAATATGAAGTCTACCACTCTCATAACCCACTGCTGATTTCCCCTGTGCAGTATCCTTTGTGGTATTCAGCATCATATAATTTGGACCAAAATAGGCAGTGACAGATGCCAAATTTAAAGCTCTTCACTGCCAGGCACATTGACAAATAAAATGGAGAAATGAAATCCCAGAAAATCCAATTTCCTAGATCCATCATATGGATAAGATCTACTTACATCCCATTTAACACACATACAGTTGAGAGACTTCTTATGTAAATATGAGTATGTTGTAATGAGCTATTGCAGGCAAGGTAATTTCAAGAACAAAATAACTCACTGACAGTATAAAAAATGCCTGACAAATAAATATCCAAAAGTCTCTGGATTAACAAATCATTTTTAAGTTGAAGTATAGTTGATTTGGGCTTCCCCAGTGACTTAGCAGTAAAGAATCTGCCTGCAATGCAGGAGACGTGGGTTTGATCCCTGGGTCAGGAAGATCCCCTGGAAGAGGGCATGGCAACCCATTCCAATATCCTTGCCTGGAGAATCCCATGGACAGAGAAGCCTGACAGGCTATAGTCCACAGGGTCACAAAGAAACAGACACAACTGAAGTGACTGAGTATGCATGCACGCATAGTTGATTTGTGATGTTGTGTTAGTTTCTGGTATAGAGCAAAGTGATTCAGTTTCGTCTATATATTCCCTGTGCCATACAGTAGATCCTTGTTGTTTATCTATTTTATACACAGTAGCTAACATATCCTTTTGCTTTCCTTTTTTTAAAAAAAATGTACATTATAAACAAAACAAAGGAAGTTATTCTCTTTCTGAATTTGCCAGAATAGACAGTGGAGATACCATTTGGTTTAGGCACTCTTGTATGACACTTAGAATCTTCTGAAAGGGAAGAAAGTACAAGAGATGTATGGATGACTTGACTCCCTCTGTCACCTAGCAGAACCATGCAACAATAATTTACTGCTTTAGGGATCATTAAAAATATTAAAGTGGTGAGTTATTGTGGTGCTCTTGGGGAAAATGTGCTCTACTAACCTCACTTTAAGAAGCTGGTTTTGAATTTGAAATCGCAAGAAAGCATTTTTCTATCTTTTTTCTATTTTACTACTTAAAAGGAATAGAAAATAAAGGATAAGCTGTGAAATCTGAATTTTGTAATTCTCATTCTAACCTGAATTGTTATGCTTTAGGTTTTAAAACAGATACACACACATACTTCACACAGATGGAACTGCCAAAGCGAAATTTTAGAACATGACAGACTTGTTTTGTGAAGACAACCATGTATTTGTTGAAGAAGACAAGTAGAGGTTTTTCATGCAATGTTCTTGTTACTTGAAAGAGCATTCACATAAGTGAGGTCATGAAATTAGTTACTTGAAGCATTTAAATGTAAATATAAATCTAACTTCTTTTCTGTTTAAGATGTTTCAGAAAGTATTCCTGCTTGGATTGGGTTGTTGGACTAACCGGTTTTCAGTGTCCCTTTTACCTCAAGTGTTTATAAGTCAGTGTTTCTGTGGTACAAGTTGACCATTAACTTGCTTTTCTATGAAAAGAACTAAACAATAATGACTGGTCAGAGTTAATTAGCAGACTAGAGTGAGCAAGAGGCCACGTAGCAATGATATCCCATTCCACCATTCCCTGAAAAAAGGAGACAGCTGGTGATTATAACGGGAAGCTACCTGGAGACCGAGAAATGCAGTTGCTGGGTGAGAAGGTTAAGAACAAACGTTGCTCAGAATGAGTTACGGGTGAGTAGGACACTTAATTTTCCTCAAGTCCTGAGCTAAATCAAGAAAGGGATTCTCTTTCTCCCCTTTTTAAGGACTTCATATAGAAGCATTAGTCGCTAAGTCGTGTCTGACTCTTTGGGGCTCCATGGACTGTAGTCCGCCAGGCTCCTCTGTCCACGGGATTCTCCAGGGAAGAACACTGGAGTGGGTAGTCATTCCCTTCTCCAGGGGATCTTTCCGACCCAGGGATCAAACCGAGGTCTCTAGCACTGCAGGAAGATTCTTTACCCTCTGAGTCACCAGAGAAGCCCAAAGAGAAGTGTAATAAGAAAATATGAGAGCTTGTGTGCAGAGAAACAAAACTGCACTATATAAAATTTACTAGCACACCACGCCTTTGTCTAAAGGCTTATAGTAATTTTTATTGGTGCTGTATCATCCTCTTAAGGCAGACAGTCATCTCTCACCATAAATTTTATTTGCTTTGTTTCTGTTAATATTTTAAGCTGAAAGAATGTGTAGCAAAGAAAAGAGGACCTAGAAATAGGAAAACATATGTGTAATAATGCTCAATGACTAATTCCACTTCATTCTCTACCATTAACTATCTGTGCCTGAGACCTCTGAGATTCACTTTTGAGATTCATTTTTCTCATCTATATTTTGAGCTGATTGATTAGGAACAGTTGTTAAAATCTTTCCAAGTCTTAAATTTCATACTTAGCAACACAGGGTTGTCTATTGCTAAACAACATCTGATGTTTATTTACTGAAAAATTCCTGGCTCTTTTCAAAACCCTGAAATATAATACTTTTATGCATACTTTCCTCTGTGGTTTAGAAGTGTTGGCTTGAATCTTAGAGGCTAGGTTATTGCTAAATATTCTTCTTTGCTTTTTTTCCTTACTTGAAATCCTAATTCCTGATGCACAAGATCATAAATTTCTTCCCTTTGTCTAAGTGCAGTGAAAGAGATACATGGTTTTGTGAGGGCAAACAACAGGACTTGACCTAATCATTTGGGTAAGGATAGGGTGGATTAAAGGGGGCTTTTTGGAGGATGTGATGCCTGAATCAAGCTCTGAAAGAGGAACAGGACTTAATGAAGTTAAAATGGTAGGGAACAGCCCTAACTAAAGTAGAAGGAAGTATAGAGGGAATGAAAGAAGGTCAGGTTGGCTGAACTATACATAAAAGGAGAAAGTTGATATGAAGTGATGCTGGAGGGGCAAGCAGGGACTCTTAAAGGCCTTGTGTACTAGGCAAGGAATTTTGTGCTTACCCAAGAGTCATAGAAAACTACTAGTAGCAATAGGAGCACAACCAGCTTTACACTTGGGAATGATCATCCTGTTTTGAACATAGTTTGTTTATTGAGGGCAGGGAGGAAACAGCAGGTAGATCAGTTAAGTACTTATTGCAATAATCCAGGTGAGAGATACCAGGACTCTGGACTAGAGTGATGACATCAGAAATATAGAAAATTGGACAGATTTGAGAACTGTTTATGGAGTAGGTGCAGCTTTGGTGTTGGATGGCTAGGAATGCTCTTAAGGGTTAGTCCCAAATGTCTGCCTCACCATAGCTCAAAACTGAATGGATGATGTTAACATACTTTGAGACAGGGAATACAGACAAGAAAAGACATAAATACATCTATTTCTAGCAATATAGTAAGGAAGATAAATCATACTGCCCAACATAAGCACCCAGATTTTAATCAAGAAAGTATGTCTAAAAAGGAAGGACAGATTTCCAAGACAATGAATGTTTGTTACTTGTGAATTTCCAAACTGTAGTGGCGATATTCTTTATACTTTTTTGAAAGTTACAGCATTTCCCTCTTTCCCTGTAGAATTCAGGAGAGACAATAGGAAGAAAATACTGTAATATGAGAAACACTCTGGAATCCAACCATCTGTCTAGATTTGTATGGTTCATTGTTAGACATAACAGAGGCTGGAGCCCAGGAAATTTTCCTTTAGGCAACAGTCCCACTGAAAATTTTGGTCAGCTTCATGTATAAAAATAATCATTTTCAATTTTAACACATATCAATTTTTTCCCCCTTGAACTGCGACACTCTAAGAACTATACATTATCTCTAAATTGGAAAATGGATGTTTCTCAATATTTTTTTATAATCTGTGTGTTATTTTTTCTATTTTAATGTCCCTTATATTTTTTCCTTAAAAATAAAATAGAAAGAGGCCAGAAAAAGCAATGAAACATGCAAACAGATAAATCTAGAACAACAAAGTTAGAATCATACAATTTAAGACACACATGCATACATATAGCCAAATGGCTATGTGTTCATACATTCTGAATTTGATTTTGGTATATTGATACTTTAGTTTTATCCATGATTAAGAATTTAGCTGAGTGGCTAAGTTACAGAATAACTGGCAAGTTGGCCATCATTAGAAAGAAGAAAATCAGTGAATTATTCAAAGCCCCATTTCTTTTGGTATTTATGCTTGGGTTTTTTCCAGTGTATGATCAGTGCCTCTACTAGGGGATAAATTAGGGAAAATGAAAGAACTCCAAAGGTATTCCATGGTCTACTGGCTACCACCTCGGTAATAATTGACCAGCCAACTAGTGAGAATCTTAGACTTGAAGATGTGGGGAAGCATAAAGAAGTAAAAGAGGTGGTCTCTACCATTAGGGAATTTACAATTAATTAGAGGAATAACACATACATATATAAAAAATTAACTATACAAAGCATATCA